GTGGATTTTGACCCCCTTCACTCGTATTTGGAAGTGCATTAGGAGGGGATCTCGTAATGTCTACTATAAGCAGCAAGCAACAAGTCTTTCATTGTTCATATGAGCAATTTGATTCAGAAACCCCGGACAAACCTATTATGAAATGTGCTTTTGCAAACAATGAGTCATGAGGGCTTTACAAAAGAGTAGGGAGGAGCTACTGTCCAGATGTTTGGACTCTTTGTGTTCCTGTCCTCCAGTGATTCTCACATTACATCATACAACACTGACAAGCATTATCTTTTCCAGCAGAATGTCAATGCAGAGTGCAAATGAGAAAGGTCAACAATTAGACATGTAATGACGGAGGTCATGATCGGAAGGTCGCAGTTTGAAGAGGGCTGATATGGGCGTCTCTGAGGCCTTGTAGTCTACAACCCTCACCATGCAATGGCAATTTCCCTGATAGGACATCCCCCTTGCTCTCTCCCCACGGTTCCTGTCTATCTTTCCTGTCAGATAAACCTTTTAAAAAAAAGTGCTGATAAAAGAAACATGTTGGCTTAGAGCCAAGGAGCTGACTTTTTCTGGGCAACCTAAACACAATGGTGGCGCAGTGCTGCCAAACAGTGCCATCTCCTGGGGATTCACACTACCTACAAGGGGTGTTTGTGGTAGAACACTGGTAAACACAGAGACAGAAAGCAGATTCATTGATTCTCTGTCAACCCCAGGAGAGAACAGAGAAAAGAGAAACTGGGGCAGAGGGAAAAAAAGACAGGGACAGAGTTAAAGGAGAAAGTGAGTGAAAGACAGAGTCTGTCACCATAAAAGACAGGCTATAGGACATTTTTGTTGGTGCCAGGGTGCACAAGGATGGAAAGCTCGGATGGTTTCAGACTATGCAAGCGCAAAGAAAAAAAAAACAGCTATAACTGTATCAATGAAAACACAAGTGAACCACAACCACTAGAGGTCTAATACAGAAACCAACAGTTGGAAGCATGCACGCAAGCAAGCACACACAACATGTTGTCAACCAGAAGTAGAGATGGCGACTGTTGCGTGTTGGCAGCCTCCTACCAGACAGCTGGAGTTTGATTAGGAGACACGATTAATAGACTCTTTATCACCTAGAGCAATTAAGGACTTAATTGGAGAGAAAATAGGTCCTGTCGAGAGGGAACATCTAGAGGAGATAGACAGAAATCAGCAGAGGGGAAAGTAACAAATTATATTTACTCTTGTTATGGAAATCGTTTTTTGTGTATTTGTAAATCAGTCATTTGACTTTTATGCATTTTTTTTCTCAATAATTGTAGGCCCTACTACTTGGAATAAAAAATAAAAGGAGTCAAATCACAAGCTGCCGGGGTGTCTGCGGCTGCAGGAGAGCAGAGCTGAGCTTCACAGAGGTGACCCTCTGGGGGGAAACACATGTGTGTACCTTCACTGGCAGTGTCAGGAGGTGTGTGGAGGGGGCACCTGTGCCAGACTTAATGAACAGTAAAACAATGCAGTATAATAAAGAAATATTTTATTGTGGATTAAGGTTAAGAAAGGTTGTACCTTAATTAATCACTGGTTTAATGCACCACCCAGGGGACACACCAAGTGATACAAATCAAACGCACCCACGTGTTGCGGGCTTTGAGGCGCGTTCAAAGTCCCTGAGGGTTTAGGGTTACTGTCAAATCGTCGAGTTTTTGAGGGCTCTCTCTCGCAGACATTTTGAGCCCTTTATGAACACTTTCTATAAGTCCGCATTTCTGCAGACTTTTTCCCAAGGGAATTACCCACAATTCATAGCAATGTGAAGTTAAACACGGGGTTACCAGTGGAAGCCGAAGACATAAAAAAAGTACATATTACATTTACACAGAAATATTAAGGATTAAAGATGGTATATATGAAAGCAGAGGAATTCCAAGCAGAGACTATGTTACACAACCGGTTTACTCAAAAAACTTTATTTCGTTATTGAAGCTGTTTTGATAAAAACAAGTAATTTGACAATTACCTATCACCTCGTGAGGCAAGCCTGACATCGCCATCTTGACAGAAGTGACCATATTTGGACGTTGGAGGAGTGACGTAGAGACGCCATATATACGGCTCTGGTTGGGTAGTGGGGCTGTGTATTGGCAAGCACCTCACGATACGTATCGCGATACACGTGTCACATCCTGAATGTTTTACTGTAGCTTGATAAAGCTTGCAAACGGCACTTGTTTCATCAAAGTCATTACTCCCTGATATGTTTTCGAAACCAACGTGCACCCAAAGGTCACGGGCCTTAGCTTAGCAGGAACTAGCCAGTGACATCTACAGAATATATATATCGATACTAGGCATGGAAATATCGATACACTATCACGTACAAAATGTGCACGATAGTCAGCTGTATCAATATTCTTGCACAGCCCTATTCTATCAATCACAAAGTAGCCCCGCCCTAAAGCATACTCCGCTTTATGTTCTATTTGATTCTAATTGGACCATAATTTATGAACATCATGCTGTATTGAAGAAGACTTAAAACAAAACAAAAAACGATTGAGAGCATAAACTTTACAATGTTTACTAAAGTAATAAATCAAGTGAGAAGTTGGGTCTTTTTCTCAAAGACTTCCATACAATGTGACTTCTGAACCAGAGGAGTCGCCCCCTGCTGGCCAGTAGAGATAACGCACATTTAAGACACTTCCGCATTGGCTTCACTCTTCAGAACGAAACAGTAAATGCGAAAGGCTCATGCGACGTCTGCGTTCTAAGGGGAAGGCAACGGTGTAAACAAGTGTAAACAGTGTAAACACTGCCAAGTGCCCTCTGTATAGGAATATATGTTGGTTTTTGACATACGCAATATGGTTTAAGACTTTAAGTATTGTCTTTTTCTGGTTTTAAAGGCTGCATCACAGTAATGTGATGTCATTTTCTGAACCTAACAGTCTGTCATGTTATTTATTGCGTAACATCCGAGTCTCACGGCAGTGAAATAATCATAAAAGTGTCACAATGTCAATGGAAAGTCAATTAGGATCTTTTTTTTAATAGTGGACACGCAAATTAAACGCATCAACTATGCAACGGTCAGAGGCAGTGATGTAGTATCAAATATTGAGAAAGACCACTTATAGTGAGTAGGTGGATGGGTGCATGACCATGTGTCCCAAATGTTCCTAAACCAGAATAAGTGGTTTTGTTGCCTAAACCTACAGCATTTGTTTTGTTGCCTGCCTCAGTTGACATTTTAAGCCCAACCGTGCCCAATCAAACAAAGTGGTTTTGTTGCCTAAACCTAATGTTAGTCTTCTTGCATTTTGTTGTTTCTACTGACAGAAAAATAAACCGTGGTGCAAGCATGAAAGATAGGCTACTTCCAATTGAAACACATTAGTTTGATAGTCGTGGTGAGCCACAAAAAAAAAAGAAAAATTGTGTCCATGTCCACAAACTGCCATGAGACTGTGGTGTGTGTAAATATTTTGTAAAGGCACCAATTGTCAACCAATATCGTTGCAATATCGATATCGTGATTTTTCCATATCGCCTATAATAAAACCTCATCATAACACACGTTTTCCTTTGCCCACCCTGCTGACACTAAACTCAGAGTATAGGCCTATTTTTGAAATATAATATAATATTCTAGTGGCCCCACAATTTCCATCCCTTGAAATAAGAATATCTTCAGAGGACAGTCCACTGTGGCAGACTGTATGTGCCATGGGTGGGTGTGTTTGATCTTGTGTGTCATTGTTGTCTTTTCCTGCATTGCCTTATCAGACCACCGGGAGGTGTGTGAGAGTTATCAGTGATAGTCTCACATGAACGTCCAGTTGGTATCTCGTGTTCTCAGCTTATTAATGTCGTGAAGTCCTTCCTTCACAGTGCCATTTCATTTTGAGTGCATGTGGTTATTCTGTGCTGAATATTTAATTTAAAAAAACACCACAGAGGCACAATTGCTACTTTTGAGGCACACGTGAAACCCCGACTGCTCATGTAAACATCTTTTCATTGAGTTTTTGTTGAGACTGATATTTGAAAATCCATTTGTCTACTACTTTTTTTTTATATTTCAATTTATTTCTTCCTTTGTTGCTACCACCGAACAGCAGATGCTCTCGCTATAGCAGATAAGATGGACTTCATAATGAATGTGAGGCGCCGATGAATGTGGAGATCTTTGACAAGCTTTACTCAATAAAACCTGCCAAACACCTCCATCACACACAGGAATGTGGCTGATGATGCCTTTGATCCCCTCCGTCCGTTTCCCTCCACATCAAAGGTGAGTTTAATAAGGTCGTTGCTTGCTGAAACTCTCCTGCTTTGTGACTTCTGAACAATATTGCACCTCCCGCCCTGCACTGTTGAACTCCTCTACTCGCACACGCAGTCAGTTTCCATATTCTGTTGCACAGTAACGATGCCAACGCTTCTTATTTTGACCCAGAAACAGGAGGTCATCTGATGGTTTTGTATATGTCTGACTGATACAGGGATGTATGTCTGTCTCTTTCAAACTCATTTTCCCTTCCTTTGCATTTGCTTGGGTTGAAGTAAAATCCAAAGTGTTAAATAGCAACCTTCTGGACAGATTATTCTGTCAAAGTGGGCCAAAACTGCAGGGACTGAGCACAGGTACACAGACCATCTGGCCTTTGAACAGTGACTAAGTAGACTAGAAGCTGGAAGCGGTAATCAGGTGCCCAGGGACTCATAAAATAATTTGGTGATACTGTAGCAGCAGGAAAGCTTTGCCCTGTTGTTGTACTGCGTTTCATCACTTAGATCTCTACAGAATTAATGGATCCTAATGCTGTATGTTGACGCCATACGCCTACAGTATCTGTCTTTGCCTTTTTTCTGTAGTCTCGAGATGCTTTTTCTCTGCGGGATATGATACTTTTTTTTTTCTCCGAGCGAGCCAGTCCTCCATCTTTCCTCTAGATACTTTCTGCCGGGGGCTCGCATCCACACAATTCCACACTGTAACGGTCAGAGTTGGAGAGACAGTTGGAACATTACCTGGGGCACTTTTTCAGTGTGTGTGTGTTGGTGGATGCGGAGGCTGACGCATGTGTGGTGTGCTGTTGCACTCTGGTGGTCTAACATGGCATTTCACCAGTATTTAGAAGTGCACTGTTAAAACTCTCCGCTTTACATGCCGGGCAAGTGATCAGCCGGCGGGAGTATCTTTACCGCAGTGGCATCTTGATCTGCAGTTGACATGATGAACCTTTGTCAATAACTAATGTGAACAGGCGTTGAGTGATTTCCAAGTGCACAGTATAGGCATCATTGCTTACGTACTGCGACATATTATCTCCCTCTTTAGATTCTGTCTAGGACACACTTGCCCCAGTGAAAAGTGTGTCAGTGATGACAGAGCTGATATCACACACACACACACACACACACACACGCACACGCACACACACACACACACACACTCACGCACACACAGAAAGAGACGACAGTAAACAAAAGTTCAGAGAGTTTTTTTATTATAGAAAAATAGTTTGTATAAAAACAATTAAGTTATGAATTCCAGCAGCTTTTTCCTCTAATATAACATATCTTGCCTTCAACACACTGTCTTCCTTTCTCTCTCACACACACACGCACACTCACGCACGCACACCTAGGTTGGTCATTTCACAGTCCTTGAAGATCTCCTACATAGTTCTAAATGTAGTCCCGAATGTCCTCTTCATCTGCCAGTCCATCTGAATTGACCTACTTGCCGTAGAACATCTCCATGAGCACCTCCTCGATGCTGACGGTCCCTATAACGGGTCTGAAGAAGAGCTGCGCGACCACCGGCGGGCTGATGGCCCTCAGCATGGACAGGGCTATGAGCAGTTTGGCGAACCGCGTCGTGTCCTCGCGGTGGATCAGCCTGACGTGCTCGTTCAGAGCCTGGTGCGCCTCCCGCCGCAGAGACTGGATGTAGTGGAGACAGCGCAGACCCTCCACGTCTGGGGAGAAGACGAACACGACGTGGTGGAGGAGAGGAACGTGAGATGAGATGGGGGGGGGGGGGGGGTAAAGTTCAGTAAGGCTAAATAGTCCGCTTTATGACACCCGAGTACAATAACTTTGACGCTCATGTATGAACTACCTACCTGGGTTGAACAGCACGGCTCCTTTCAGATACGCATACTCCTTCGTACTGATATCTACACTCCAGCACTTCTTCAGGAAGGCTCGAATAGTGTCGATATCCACGACAGAGACCCCGGCGGCCCCCCTGCTCTGGCCGGCCGTCGGCACCTCGCTCTGCCTGTCCGGTAAACCCGTGAGGATGCGCTGCAGCATGCTGGGCTCCACGGTCTCCGTAGTGTCAAAGTCCACCCGGTCCTGCGCGAGTCCCAGCACGAGCAGAGGCGCCCAGCAGCTCCGGATCAGCGTCAGCTGGTCGTCCTCCGGCAGCTCGCGAAAGCAGGGGACGTTCTTCACGAACCGCAGCGTCTTCACCAGGACCGCGGAGGCGGCTTTGCACGTCACCTGCGGGGAGCGGAGGACGCCCCGGCGCCGGGTGGAGCCGCAGGAGCAAGCCTGCTGCCGGGGCGAGGCGGCGGATGAGGAGGAGGAGGTCTTGTGCAGCAAGTGTTGCAATGTTTGTTGTTGGGGATGTTGATGATGTTGTTGATGCTGTTGTTGTTCCTCGGCGCTCGTAAGGCTGTCGCTCTTCAAAATGCTGTAGAGGATGCTGTTGTTGCTTCGACCGCTCGCACCCCGACAGCGGCAGCCCTCCAGCGCGGCCATGGCCGCTCTACATGGGCCGGAGCTCAGTGCGTCCCGCCGTCTCTTTGAAGCGCCGGAGGTCAGTGACAGAAGTAGCGCTGTTTTCCTAGAACCCGATAGCCCCGAGCACGTTTATATTAGCTCCTGTCTGTCTCTGCGCTTTGAGAGCCTGTTCACTCTGCATATTCCTCAGGCACCTCCTATTTCTCCACCTCCTCTTCTTCCTCTCTCTCTCTCTCTCTCTCTCTCTCTCTCTCTCTCTCTGTCTCTCTCTCTCACACACCTATAAACACACACTTTTCAGGGCTCTCAAATATTCAACACACAGCACTAGTCTATAAAAAAAACAATGACATTTTTGCAAGAAAAGACAATAATCAAAAGCATTTTATATCTATTTTGCTCACATGTGAAAGTTTCACAAGGTTTGATTAAAAACACAATATGGGACTCCGCCTGATGGCACGATGTGTCCGGAAACATTAAAGGTCAAATAAAGCAGCGGTCAGCAGGCGTGGTATATTGAACAGGTTATGTTATATTATTAATTGTGAGAGAGGAAGGAAAAGGCTGGGAGAGGCAGAGACAGACAAGGAATCAGAGCCCAGTTCTATTCTTGGCATTGCCTTGAGTCTCTGGCAGTGCTGTTTATCAGGCAGAAGCCGGTAAAAAAATATAGGCCAGCGACAGATCTGAAGGCTTAATTATTTTAGGGACAATTTATATGATTTTCTATGAGAAAGAAGTAGGAAGAACTGAGCTGCGAAGGCCAGCCTCCAACCTTGACTCGGACACACTGATATTGATTTAACCGTGAAAACAGGAGCTGGTGAATTATGATGTCATGACTCAATGCTCTCCTTGTTTGTCACTGAAGGAGGATGGGGTGTGGGGGTGGGTGTATGGAAGGGAGGAGTGGAGGTCAAGTGAATGAGAGAATGAGAAAGACAGGTTGGGATAAAGCAGATGAATTAGAGGTTTATCTTAATTGCTCCTAAGAGGGATCACAGGTTAGGGTTGGCTGCTGAAAGAGAGAGAGAGAAGTTGTCTGAATGAAGAAAAACTGTGTGAGAATAGTGCAAGAGCTCTGAGCCAAGTTACTGACTGTACAGTATGTTGAGGTTTGGGCTGTTCCGTTGTAGCCACCAAACAAATACCCTCCACAATGTCACAGAAGGGGATTCATAGAGGGTTGTGTTTGGTGCGGAGAAAGGATGATATTTAGTGCATGGCCACATTCATGAACTCAGGACCTCAGCATCCCCTGTTGTTTTGCGTCAAAGGACACGGCTATGAATGGAGGCCGGATGAAAAAGTTCTGCAGGATTTCTGGAGCATTGCTCAGAGGCCAAATGTCTTTGTATTGATTTAACTGAGGGAGAAAACAGAGAGATTTTTCACATGTTTATATCAAGGACACCACGGGATAAACAGCCTTCACCCAGCCTGTCTCTTCTCCTGCTCAAGGCCCAGCCTGCGCAGGTTATAAAAATCCTTCCGTCTCAAGGAGAGATTACATTATGTCTTGTTACAAAAGTTGAAAAGACGGCTATAGTGCTCTGTCTTTGTCTTGCACTCAGGTCCTCCTTTTTCCCCTCCTTTATTTCTCAAATTTGTGCAAGATGTATTTAAGTAGCTCTCCACTCCATCATCTTTCCTCCGATAGAGCATATAAAATACATCTGAAATATTTCTTTATTATAATAAACCACACCAACCCTCAGCAGCCATATATTGTTCAGAGCAACTGAGCTTTATTTTGCAACGCCATTCAATGAGTTAAAAAGCAGAATAAAATATTTAAATTAAATATCATCAATCAAATAAAGGGAAAACGAATAAGATCATTTTTCTAGAGCATATCTATTGCCCCTACACGGCTCGCGAAATTGTGACGGCTGAGCCGGTGGCAGGCAGCTATCGGTGCTAACAGCGCTAACAATGCAAAGAACGGCAACAGTGATGATGGAGCTAACCAGTGTTTACCTGTGGGGGGAACCAGGGGGGGGGACAAGCAGTCATCACTGCCACAATGACGCTGTTGGAAGAGACGGCGTTATCAGCTGTATCCGGCATATGAGAGCAGTGACGGCACGCTCACATGTACTAATATGCACTAAAAGACAAATACGGCCGGCCCGGCTATGTCAACAAAGCACAGAGAACCTCTGATAACGGCACACACAGAGGGAGAGCGTCTTCAGTCTCTGCTCACGAGGAAGACATTACTCCACCATTATATCTTTACATAGCAAACAGTTGTTTGATTTGCTGTTTTCATATAGAGTACCTTTACTGTTGTAATCCTTAAAATTTCAGTTCTGGTTGATTTGGCGTCGCACATTGTTACTCTCTGAGCGGCTACTTTGTCAGAAATACGACAGTTTTTCTGTTTACGGCGCAACCAAATTATTATTCATCTCGTCAATAAAGAAGTCAGTAATTGCAACCGTGGTCTGAGTTCTATACTCACAAGCTGTCACATGGTATAGCATGACCAGGAAACAGCGAGGCTGCTGACAATGAGGTCAAATTCAGCTAGATTACAGGCTTGTATCATTTTCCGTAAATCCCTCTCACTCGAGTAATCTGCTCATGTAATCTGCTCATGTCCAGCGTGTTAAATAATATTAACACCGTTGCCCATTAGCCTTGCAGGCCGAAAAAGTCGGCGGGCTGTGTGGTCAGTTCAGACACGTCCGTGATATCAGCAGGACAGTTACAAGTTTCTAGACGGCAGCGATTACGGCCCAAAGAATTGGACAATAACTTTAGAAGAGAGCCGTGGTGAATTTAATGGATTAAATCAAGATGACATGCCTGTTTAAAATGTGTTTTCAAATTCTTATGGTGAGTGCTGTAGTGGAGAACAGTTTGTCTTTGACAATACAAAGTAAACCTTAAGACGCTTAACAGTTTTAGTGTTGAAGGTTTGGCTTTAACATCAAAAACTCATACTGTATAGACTAATCAGCAAAAACATTTTTTTGAACAAACACATGCAGACACACACACACTCGTCTATCTGTGATCTGCACTTCCGAAACTAATTGCTGTGACACTCAGACAGTCCGAGTCAGATGGCATCAGCCACGCCGCAGCTTTGTGTCTGGTGCTGAAATCTAGAGCAAGGTCGGCACCAGAGAAGCTCAGACGAGGGGCATGGGAACGTGAGAGCGGAGCACATGCAGGAATCAAAGTGGGAAGGAAAGAGCCGTTAAGAGTCAATTCCAGTGCTTTATTTTATTTCTTTTCAGCGTTGGTGATGGCAAGTCGGTTCCGTAAAAATGTTGCTAGAATTTAAAATAAGTGCAATCGTCTCAACTTTCGTTCGAACATCCGTTAGTTTGTCTCACAACCTCTCGTGTGGATTGACTGAAGGAAAAGGGAACTTGTGTTGTAGCCCAGTTTCATCTTTTCATCTACCTCTACAACAAATGCATTTGAAACTCTTTCTCAATATGTGCAGATTGTTTCAGAAGACACACAACGTGTATTCAATAAGTGAGCATTGTTACGTTAAGTGATTTTGCAGGAGTAAACATTTCCTGAAGGCTGATCACACAAATTAAATTCTGAGGTTGCCGTGACCCAAGAAGACAGCTCTTTGGCACATTCAGTCGAGCCAGCCTTGAAACACAAGTGTGGAGAAAAACACAAGGTTCTTTACCAAACACTATGGGCTTAGACACCCACAGACACTCCAAGACAGGTCTCAGAAACTTAAGAGGACAACTTCGTATGATTCAAGGCTTTGCATTAAATGGCTCCCCTGGAAAAGTCTTGTGCTGCATTGTTTGTTGGTTTGTTGGGCGCTTTTCTGGCGGTTGCTATAGTGACTGCCTCCATTTTCTCTGTGTGGCTGCTCACATAAAGGGCTGTGTCCTTGTCTCCATAATAGTTACAAATTTAATACTGCACTTCCAAGGACTCATGTCGCCAACTTACAGCAGAGTGGAAGTGTGTGTGTGTGTGTGTGTGTGTGTGTGTGTGTGTGTGTGTCTGTGTGTGTGTGTCTGCTGGAGAGGAAGAAAGAAGACAAGTTTGCTTCAGATGTGATGCGAGGTAAAATGTATAGGTTTTTCTTTTATACTTTGTCTGAAATACTGAGTCATAGCTGCTCGAGGATAAGAGCAGAAAGACGAGTATGTAGGGCTGTGGCGGTAGAGGAGTCTCCCCTGCTCTGATAATGGCTCAATAGAGTGATATGCTGTTTTATTTCCTTTCTTTATGCAAATTACTTAGTTTAGCCTGATTTTAGTGCTGTGTAAATATGCTTTATTGCTATGCTATTATTAGGTCAATTGTTGCTTTCTAAAAGTTTTAAAACTGTTAAAATACTTAGAACACAGAAGGACGATGAGACACGTTGTTTTTTCAGTGACAGTGCTTTGGTTGTGTCTGGTTGCTATGATACGGAATATCCGCCGAAGTAAAGTATGAGGGCAGAGAGTACTTGCTCTGGATGAAAGGAAGGTTGAAGCACACAGGGAGAGAGGACGGACATTTTTTCTTCAATTGTTGCTTTTGTTGAGCACATGCAGTTACATGTAGGATGTGAACGTTGGTCTTTGTGGTATTCCCCCCCCCCCCCTTCATTGTTGATGTGATTGGACGGATAGGTAAAAAGTTTAATATTATTCAACTTTCAGCCATCAGAGAAAAAACACCAAACGTGCATTGCTCTCCGCAGAAAAGACGCTCAGCGGCTTGTGGCGCTGCTGCCATAAAGTGTAAATACACGCCGCTCCCATTGCAAAGAATTCAAAAAGACAAAAATATGAACATAGCAATTGTGCGCTTGCTTGCCAACCCCTGCAGCTCACTTGTCACTAGCGTGGTTTTGCAGTTATTGCGACCACCCTAAGATTATGAAGGAATAACCGCCTATTTTATTACCCCGATATACCGTCATACCAATATACCGTAGTATTAGATTTGCCTGTTGCAATACCATGTACATCTGCAATGAGTTTGTGTGTGTGTGTGTGTGTGTGTGTTTTTAATAATCAAAGGACATTATTTTAAAGGTTTACAGCTGACGTTATTTTTCCATTTAGTAGTTAATTTAACATATAGTGCTGCTGACATGTGATCTAACATGCTTTAGTTATACAACATATTATAGTTGCATGCTTTTTTCTATTAGGTTTATAATGCTGTTCTCATTTCTTTTATGGCTTTAGTCCGTTCAGTAATCCATCC